GAGTTAATAAACATTAAAACGAAAAGAAAAATAACTAAATACAAATAACACACCAGTAGTAATGAACACACTTAATAAAGAACATAAAAGCACGACAATCGAGATGGCGATGCTAACGCAGATAGTCAAACTAATACTAAACGAACAATTCAAATCACCAAATGATGACACAGAAATTAACACCAACCTGGATATTAATACACAAGCACAAACACAACAAACAACACAGACACAGACGGATTTAAACGGGTCACACCAAAAAAAAAGTATAATAAACCACAGTTGGCTGCAGAAATCAAACGCTGTAAACCAAACATCAAAATAACTGCCATTAAATGTTTAGCTAAGAGCGGAGTTCTAGTCAAAGGAACAGAGGCAGCTGACCTGAACAGTCTTTTCAAAGAATAGCCTTAAGATGCCTTTCATTCAGGACATATATATATTTAGGAAGTAAAACAAACGTAAAAGCATTTGTAATTAAAGGTATTCACTACAGCATGGAAATTGAACAAATCCGGGATGAACACTCTCAAAACAACATTCAGTACACAAAAGTCGAACGTATCATCTCAAACAGGATACAGAAACAAACAATGATGATTAAAGTAATCAAACACGAAACATAAGATATCTAGAGTCTAATATCTAAGGAACACAGGGTATCCAGAGCCTGATATCGAAGAAACATAGGGTATCCAGAGCATAATATCGGAGAAACACAGGATATCCAGAGCCTAGTATCGAAGAAACACAGGATGTCCAGAGCCTAATATCTAAGAAACACAGAATATCCAGAGCCTAGTATTGAAGGAACACAGGATGACCAGAGCATAATATCAAACAGTAGTATTCTCTGGTATCGGAGACTTCTGGTAAAAGAGTCCAAAACACCAGCCGTTGTTGTAACGAAATTTTTTAATTGCCAACGAAACGGGCATGTAGCGGCAGGCTGTAAATTTCTCCCACAATGTGTGGGCTGTGGTGGAGATCATCACAATTCTATGTGTCTGAAAGAACACGAAAATCCATACTGTTGCAACCGTAAGCAACAGCACACAGCTAACTCCAAAAGATAACTAAAAAGAAGGATATCAAAACAAGAATCTACAACTTACACAATAACAATCAAACCACAGAAACTAATATGCAACTAGTCCACACCCAACATTCCGCTACAAAAGCATCACTTGTACCGACACAAATAGCACAGCCTGAACCTATTAACACATATGGAGCTGCATTCCGTACACAAACAAGCAGGAAACAAATATATCACTCAAACAAACAAATACAACCACAAATGAAAGAAACTAAAACTACAAACTAGCATAACAACCAATCAAATGAATACTCAACGACAAAATATACAGCATCCAGATATACCAAAAACACCAGTAAACTTAACCAGAAACACAGATATTTTTTGTTTGTTTTGAATTTCGCGGAAACGCTACACGAAGACTACCTGCATTAGCCATCCCTAAGTTAGCAATGAAAGACTAGAGGGAAGGCAGCTAGTCATCATCACCCACCGCCAACCCTTGGGCTACTCTTTTACCAACGAATATTAGAGTTGACTGTCACTTATATCGCCCCCACGGCTGAAAGGGCGAGCATATTTGATTGGAAGGGAATTTGAACCCGCAGATTGCGAGTCGAGCACCCTAACCATCTGGCTATGCCAGGCCCGAAACCCAGTGAATAAGCCCATAACAGAAGCTGCTAAAAATACCATTTTTGATTTTATTCATGAATATCAAACATCAAAATCAACAAGAATGCATCACTCTACTTTTCACAGTAGTCACGAAGCATTTCACACCTGACAACCGTTACATACTACAGCAGTTCTTGAGTTTACTTATCGCCTAAAGATGCGCGATACAAAACAACACAATCTAGGGTTATTTTATTAAACAGGCCACCTGTGACTAAATCTTAAATATCACCTAGATTATGATATCATAAGTGTAGTCATAGGGTATTTATGACAATTACGCGTTTTTTAATGTAACGTACTGAAAAGCGACGAATTGTCAATGTACTGTAGAATGTAGTGTTCAACTGACCACATAAATGAAGAAATTAACCACATAAAACACTCATTTATTCACACCAATAAATTCCCACCACTTGTAGTTGAAAAGCTCTCCAACATTCCCCACAATAAAACTCAACTCACGAACAACATTGACACTAACAAATCCAACAACAGTACATTGCATTGCAGTTTACCTTTTG